ATTAGCGCTATACATTTCGAACAATCTGATCATACATGGACTTGTCGAACTATTTATGTGAAAATTTACAAGAAGGTTCAATGAAATTAATAGGAAACATAAGAATAGGAAGGGAGAGAAAAAGAAAAAGAAAAGAAAAGAAAAAAACGTTACTCACGTTACTCTTGGTATGAAAATTAAAATCAATACTACCAAGGTAGGTTCAACGTGAGTACGAATTGTTTTTGCATACAAAAAGGGGGGTTTGAATTTACGGATGGCAAGAGCTTCAATAAATTTAAGCACTCGACTTTGACCACTTTTATGTACTACTTTAAAGGCTGTTTTCATGTCTATCAAAGCCGAGTGATTAAATTTAGCGCTAATACATCACATGTTTCAGATAATCTTCGTCTTCTCACTACACTGTTTAAATTTATCAAAGGGACCAGTTGCTTTAAACTGACAGAAGTTGGAAACAGTGAACCATTGATTGGCAAAACAGTTGTCCAGTGCTCTCAGGTTTTCAATGGTTCCCCAACTGACGTCACTCCGTGATCAATACTACCTCAAAAATTAAAATTCCCATTAACCTCAAAAAATTAATTATCTACTTAGAACTTGGAATTATTAACATAAATTCTATAATTTGAGGGAATTATGAAGCTTCAATACAAACAAGACATACTTTGATGAGGATGTACATTATTTAATCGCATATAAGAGTAGAATACTTGACACAATAGAAAAACTGTAAAAGAAGATGGATAGGACTATTACAGTCTTATTTATCATTTACAAATAAGAAAACAATGAATACAAATAAAGTATTGTTAATATTTCCAATTCGAGTGAGAGGACAGACACTCGTTCATGGTATTGGACGACGGTTACACTACAACAAAAATTGACAGAGGTTGGTTCAGTGTTAGCATGATTGCTGTGAGACTTGATTGTTGGGGGTTCAACCATTCACGGGATTGTGAACCCACACTGCTAAAGAATTCCAAGTTTTTTAACAGCTGTTCATTGATGCAGTTTTCGTTTATCAGATGTTTAAAACTAGTCACCTTCAGTAACATAGTTTCAAACGTTTATAGTTCATAATACTTCGACTCCAAACACTAGTTCGTCAGGCGATGGGGTAAACGAATTGGATTTTAGGCCTGTTTACAAATCAGATACTCAGTCTTTACAAGGTTCTTAACCAAACGCATAAATGAGACTAAATACACTACCTGGCCACGAGGATGGGGGCGATGTTTGATCAATCAAGAAGTTATATGATCATATATAGAGATGACAAGTGTTTTATATATGGAATAAAGAAAATTAGTGACTAATTTTTGTCTTCTGACATTCTTTTAGCGGGAATTAGTCAGCAGTCATCCGTTAGTCTTAAATGTTTTGTTTAAACCAATTAAGAGGTTTTTTTCGGCATTAGTAAAACATTTTTTCCTAATTATGGGAAGTACTAGTAATACAACCTACTTTCTGTTATCATTTAGAGGAATGTAATACGACCTACGCATAGTTTATATTCTGACATTCAGTTTGCTGATAGGTATTTCGACGGAGGCGAAACACAAACTTCAACTCGGCTTCTGTGCTTGTTGACACCTATAGCTAAGAAATATTTGTAACTTTTGGCGAACTTATGGTCTCCGAGAGAACTATTTCGCATAGCCAATAGCGAAGGCTCTTTGTTGATCGACTCTAACCACCCACCAGCAAAGATGGTGAAACAAGATATAGTTTTATTTAGCTTAGCAATGTTATGGCTTTCTTTCGATGAAAACTTTAATTGAGAGCTTGAAAACCCCACTGCTGAAGGATAAGTATTCTTGCTAGTAATTCACTAAATGTCTATCAGATGAACTGTAACTAGTTCAGATAAATAGTATTACCTAGAGATTCAAGGGTGGATGTTAACCATCTTTTATAGTGGATAGTTTTATAACTCCCAGTAATGTGATCCACGCAACTGGGTATATTAGGTTGGAATAGAGCCATGATCTACAACATTAATCAAAAGTGAAGTCATCAGATTTACACAAATACTGGTTACCTTACTGCAGCATTAAACTGGGAGTAGTTGTAGAACAGTCCTGAACCATCATCTTGCATTTGATAGGTGTGAAACGCATACCAGCCAAGTAAATTTCTCAGATTTCTGCTCAAGGCCTTCAGAAAGCCCAACATTTTGCCACCATCCCCGCCTAACAGGACAATATCATTCGCGCACTCCAAGTCAAACAAATGCCCTCCATGGATTAGGTCAATCAGTGTGAAGTCAGACATACCTTTGGTTATGTACATTAGTACATCTATAACGAAGTTAAAGAGGAATGGTGACAGTGAGCACCCCTGGTGGATACTACTAGTTATCAATCATTCTGACGACAACTCTCTATGAGCCATTAAATGGCTGCATGAATTCGAGTAGATAGCTTTGATTAGCGTTTTATATTTGCTTGGTACTCCCCTTCACAGTCAGACACTACTACAACACCTCACAGTCGACAGAGTCAAATGCCGCCTTCAGATCAAGAAATATAGTGAGTGTCAGCTACCGGTAAGTATGCCTGTATTCGGAAACCTGTCGAAGAGTGAAGAATTGATCGATGCAGTCTCGTTCCATCCAGGTCTGAAGCCTGTCTGGTCTTCTCGAGCTCCAATTAGATGTTGGGCAACTATGGGTCCCAGGATCTTGGAAACGATGTTAGTCAAACTGATCCCCCTGGTTGTCGAACGAAGACTTTCCTCCCTTCTCACAGACTGGGGTGATCAGTGAAGAACACCAGTCTGATGGCACTACCTCTGATTCCCATACACTTCGCAGTATCTCCATCAATCTAATCAGCAATTTTCTGCCTCCATCCTCGGGAACTTCACGTGGCAAACTGTCAAGTCCTGCTGATTTGCGTCATTTCAGGTTAGACACAGCCTCCTCAACTTTGAGGAGAGTTGGAGGACCGACATCTACGTGACATTCAGGTTCAGATTGGATGTTGGGAACTGAAGTGTTGCTGTGGGTTATTTGAACTGTGCTTCGAAGTCCTTACCCCCTTCTCATAATGGATGGTATGAAAATAAAAAATAACGCATGAGTGATTGAAACTGCACCTTGAATGAATTGCATGAGACTACTGACATTCAGTTGACTGATTTAAATGTAGCTCGGAAACTGTGCACAGTTTCGAGCACTATGTAATGAATAACACTAATACTGACTCACAACTTACTCAAAGAACCAAGGCATCGGTTGAGAAATCATGTTAGGAGTGCAGTTATGCTTAACCTCGACAGTCTTCAAGTTTCAGGGAAAGATATAGACAAACAGAAGGAGTAGCAATGGGATCACCAATATCCCCTATAGTAGCAGATATATTTATGGATAGTTGGGAAGATATGGCTTTACGAACATATAATCCGACACCTAAGATATGGTGGCGATATGTAGATGACACATTTACAGTGTTGAAATCGGAACATATCGACAGTTTCTTGACACACATAAACTCAGTAGTTAACGCAATCCAATTCACTTACGAAGTAGAAAATGAACAAGGAGAATTACCTATGTTGGATTGCAGAATAAAACGAAGGATAGATGGTGGTTTAGATACTACCGTCTACAGAAAACCAACACATTCTAACAGGTATCTAGACTTCAAGTCATCTCATCCAGTGTCAGTTAAAGCGGGTTTAGTCAAATGTCTAAATAACAGAGCTGAGAAACTCACTAGTCATTGTAAGGACTTAAATAAGGAATTGAAACACATAAAAGAAGCGTTAATAACTAATAATTATCCCCATCATTTTATTAAGAAATTCACACGGACGCATAAGAAGCAAAATAATAACACTAATACAAATACAAATAATAGTGACAACATAAGTAGAAAGGAAATCAACACCTCTATTGTGATACCATACAAGGAAGGAACATCAGAAACCATACGTAGGATTCTCAACAAGGTTGGAATTAGGGTGGCATTTAAACCAACAAACTCACTTAGAGGTAAGCTTTGTCGGCTAAAAGATCCGATAGAACCAATTAGGCAAAATAATATAATCTACCAAATTCCATGTAATGACTGTGAGGTCAAATACATAGGTCAAACTAGCCGGTCGGGGTCAGTTAGATTAACAGAACATAGGAATTTAGCTAAACATAGAACGGCAGACCCCAATAAGATCAATAACCTAGAAAAACACTCGGCCATTGCATTACATTCATTAACACACAACCACACAATAGGGTGGGACAAAACCACTGTACTTAAGTCTAATATAGCTAGGTGGAGAGAGAGATTAATTACTGAATCTTTGTTCATCGAATCCACACCCAACACATGTAATAGGAATGACGCAACACCTATACCAGAGATATGGAAAACTTTACTACCAATCAAAAAAAAAAAAACAAAGAGAGATCAGGTGACAGGACTATAAAATCAGATATCGAAAGAAGTGTGATTACATTGATATGATTATGAGCAGTAATTTATGCTCGAAACGTAATCAAGTAAATAATACTGTATCACTGTGTGCTATATATCAAATAAACAAATCTAATACGGAATTTTTATGGTACAACCTGGCTGACGGAACTTAGTAGGCACAGTGGTGTTCAAACACGTAGTGCATAGGTTGAAAGTCAACTATTTACACTAGTGGGCTAGAAGTCACTGATCCAGTGAACAAAAAAGAAAAGACACTAACAAATGAGCAGGCTTTGTTTGAGTTGTTCGTCACAGATAGCTGGTGAAACAAAAACAAGTAGTCAGTACAATTCAAATCATTATTATAACTCGAGTTAACATACTGCTGTTTTGATACTGATAATAGACAAAACTGATGAAAATGTACACTGTCGATAACAGACAGATGAATAACAGTAAATTATGTATTTTAAATTCCTGTGGAGGTGCAGTACAACTAAAAATGCCATGTAATAAAAAAAGGAAAATGGGGAAGAGAAAAAATTATAGTTCACACAAGCATAAGCAACTTACGTCAATATGGAGGTTACCACAGGTTTGATATTTGTATAAGAAGCTTGACGAACAATATCTTCAAAGACGTATATAGCTTCTTTTGAAGGATCGCATTGTGCTTCCTCTGGATCCGCATCCACTTCAGATCTTTAAGATGAAATATTACAAAAAAAAAATGCAGTTATTCATCTCAACTGAACGCTTACACTAGATTTATGACAGAACTACGCTCTGTGTAGAAGCAGCACATTTAATAGTAACGACTAAAAAATATACAGAAAACGGAGCGAACTATTATCAACACAAACGAAAATTATTTCAGAAAATGTGATGGTCATACATATTTACATTTAAACATAAGCAGCACAACTGAAGTTACAGAGTATAACCAAAATGATGAAATATACGATTAGTGAAACTGATTCCTCTATGATGGTTGCAAAGAAGCTTTCCTCCTTCTTCATAACTGGTATAAATAAGTCCCATAGGAAACTGGTGCAAAGTGCTGGAAGCCAAGAGCCAATAAATTAAACTGGATGAGAGCAAAAATCCTAAAGATCCAATGAGCTATGCTAACGTTAATAATTGTTCCCTAAAGTTCTAGCATACCAGAAAGACCTGTTGGATAGTGAGTGTTAAGACTACAAGCGGTCACTGTCATAGCGTATACTGCTACACTATGGTAAGGGATTGAGTCCGAGAGAGAAGAAACACTGCTGGCTGGACGGATGTGTAACAACAATACCGTGTTTCCCGTGGATGGCCAGCAGTACCATGCTGATGTTCCCTTCTCCATGGGAAGTGTAGGCTAGGAAAGATCTGTCCCAAAGGTATCACACTACCCCCTACTCTGCAGTATTCCGGTGCTTGAGGTATGGGTTTTCCTTGTTCGGCGTTAGTACAATGAAATCTGAATCCAATAATTTTAGAAAGGTCGTGTGTGAGAGGCATGCAGCAGATGTCCGATGGACTCCGAGGTTATAACTTACGCCCCTTACCTTTGTCTCTCACCTTGCCTTCACTTCCTCATACAAGTAAAAAGCCTCTTACAACTTGATCAAATTCACACCCTAAGACAATTCGCCAACGACCAAAGCCGGTAAAACTCCATCCCAAGTCTTCTAAAACCCGATTGTCAATCTCACACTCCAGCTTTCAACATCCGAAATCTATGCTAAATTAGACGACAGACACCTCTTGGCAAAACTCTGAAATCTCGACCTATCGATGTAAGCCATGAATGTATGCTGTGTTTCTGAGACACTTATACAGGACCCGAGTGTGCTTATTAACTTTATCTTACTTGATCGTGTCCAATCTTCAAAATTCACTCTACAATCATCCAGAGATTTAACGGCTAGCTCTTGCATATTCGATAGTGTAGGATTAGCGTTGAGTTATAGAGCTGAGAGCGTGATCCTCGACTGTGATGTCTCACTGAATAGATCTGTAAGAACTAGGAAGGATCAGAAGACTAGCCGATGCCTATCAGAAATCTCCGCCCACGAATTCACTGACCGGGGCTCGAATATTACAAAGAACGAGCTCCATTAAATGTCAACCCTGCTACAGAAAGCAAAACGTTCCGACACATTTATAATAGCGGCTGAACTTAACGCCCAAGTAGGGAAGCTGACTCAATTAGAATGGCATCTTGGAGGTATCTACGGAATTCCATGCCAACAAACCAGCAACGGTGACCATCTGTCACCGTTTTGTTGCAACAATCACTTGTTTCTAGCCAGTAATAACTGCAACCGTAAGGAAAGACACTGTTTTATGTGGCTTTCGCTGACATCAAACCAACGGTGGAGACATACATACTATATGATCATAAGCCATCGTTGGAAGGGATCGGTGGAGGATTGCCACTTTTTCTGGAGTACCATTTTCTACTCTGATCACGAGTTAAAACAGGCATGCATGTGGCACCTTACTGGTAGCAGTAAAACAAGAGGTAGCGAAGTTTGTGCGTGCTCGGACAGAAGATGAGAATGTGAAGTAGGTCTTTAGGGAGGAGACGGATTGGGATTTATCTGAACGTGACAGCAATCCTTATCCAGATTAAGCCTAGCATGACAATAACACTACTGCAGAAACAATTGATAACCTAAATCCGAAGGTTAACAAACGTCATTGGATTTTTACAAAGTCATTGAAACTGATTGATGCGAAAAGACTGGTCGCAGCAGGCTCTAACTAGAATGAGGAGAGAAAGCAGCACAAACTTTCGACATGATGATGAGCAGTGGGGATGGCGATATGGCAAGAGATGAAGAAGGCATCAACGTTAGGTGACACTCAGCAATTACTTAGGTTAATAAAGGATACTGCCAAGAAGCAGACGATGATTAGTGAGATGTTGTGGCAGTGTCTGACTGTAAAGGGGAGTACCAAGCAAATATAAAACGCTAATCAAAGCTATCTACTCGAATTCATGCAGCCATTTAATGGCTCATAGAGAGTTGTCGTCAGAATGATTGATAACTAGTAGTATCCACCAGGGGTGCTCACTGTCACCATTCCTCTTTAACTTCGTTATAGATGTACTAATGTACATAACCAAAGGTATGTCTGACTTCACACTGATTGACCTAATCCATGGAGGGCATTTGTTTGACTTGGAGTGCGCGAATGATATTGTCCTGTTAGGCGGGGATGGTGGCAAAATGTTGGGCTTCTGAAGGCCTTGAGCAGAAATCTGAGAAATTTACTTGGCTGGTATGCGTTTCACACTTATCAAATGCAAGATGATGGTTCAGGATTGTTCTACAACTACTCCCAGTTTAATGATAGGGAGTGAAATGGTGAAATGTGTCGGCCACTTCACATACATGGGGAGTTGCATCATCTGAAACTGACTGGTTACTGACAAAATTTCAGCTGGTATACAGAAGCTCCGTTTGGGATTCGCTAACTTGCATCATCTCTGATGCCTACTGGCGAGATATTCATTCGACTACTTCTAAGATAATGATTAAACCGCATTGCACTTCGCCCTGTCATATTATACGGCTGCGAGACTTCGATCGTGCAAGGTAGATGTGAAGGGACTACATGATTGTGAACACGAGTGTTTTGTGGCGTCGTTCACGTATGGTGAGAGCACCGTGTGAACTATCTCCAGGTTTGCGAAGAGTACTGGGCAAGTTAGGCGGGTTAGTCGATGAGGTTGTGAGGTTGAACCCTCACTGACTGACATGACTTGGACATGTGTTCAGCATGCTACCTAATTCAATATACAATGTTAGCTCAAGTAAGGCTGCGTTTGAAGAAGGCTTGCGGTAGTTATACCAAGGTGTAGAACCAGTTCATCAATTCTCTTGCTGATAGTCTGAACTGTGTATGGAGTTGTAGACCGTCTAGTTCTGATCCGAGAGAGGATAAGAACAACTGGTTGGAGATCCTTGCATAATACATGATTGGAAATCGGTCATAATGGCCAAAATGTATTCACTCTTTGGTGCATTCTACGTTTTTAAACATTCTCATTAGTTTTTCTTTACTTTTCAAATTCTTTCTCCTCGCTTTCACTTTGTCTCCTTTGATATCACCCTTTCTCTGCCCATCATCATCATCATCATTATCAACATAGGACCAGGCATTACTGCGTAACGGTCCGAGTTGCCACACCTCATATCAGCACACCAAGTAAAAAGTCAGTGAGGTGAAGGATGAAGATAAGTGAATGCAGTCAAAAGAAATATAAAGTATGAGAAGAAAGGAAAGAGGAGTGACAAAATAGTGAGATTCGGTATAGCGTTGTTAAGATGAGGATAATGTGTGTATACATCTGCGCCACTGACTTCGGTTCTGAGCCATATCACCTAGGGTCTCCAACCACTGGTTCCTCTTGTCCCGTGGACCCCAACCACCTAGTCTGCATCGTCCTACATGGCTTAAACCAACAGTCAGAGACTTCATACATTGGTGCCATGTTTTAGTCTGGCCACCTCGGGCCTTTTTCCAGCCTGAACCCACCTCAGCCAACATTGTGTGACGAGGCAATCGGTGACTAGGCATACGTAGTACGTGTCCCAACCATCTCAGTCGATGAAGGTTCACAACCTCGTCGACTGACTTACCTCTTCTCCCTAAAACTCTACACCTAACTTCTGCATTACTCACATGGTGACACCACGGAATACGTCCTATACTACGAAGGCAACGGTGGTCAAATACCTGTAACCTTCTCATGTCTTCCACTTTCAATGGCCATGTTTCACAGCCATACAGTAGAACAGAGCGGACTGCTGTGCAGTACACGCGACCCTTAATAGACAAACGAATATCACGGCGGCGCCATAGGTGGCGCAAATTGGCAAAAGCCAATCGAGCCTTTTGTATCCGTGCAGAAATCTCATCGGCAACTAACCCACCGGAGTTGATCCTACTTCCCAGGTAAGTGAAGTGGTCAACACACTCAACCACTTCACTCTCTATTGTTAACCGCGGTACCGCTGAAGACCAGTCCTGGAGCAAAAATTTGCATTTGGGTGGTGAAAATCGCATCCCAAACATTCTCAAATTCCCACTCAAAGTGTTCAGAAGACTCTGCATCTTGTCAGCGTCTTCACCTAACAGGACTATGTCATCTGCATATTCTAGATCTAAGGAAAATTCACCTGTGGTCCGGTCAACGTCTTTGTAATTAGGTGACGAGAGGGAAACCTCCATAAGAATATCTATGATAAAATTAAATAAGAATGGGGATAGTGGGCATCCTTGACGGACACCACTTGATGAGTATAGCTCCCTGGACAACTCACCATAGGCTCTAACATGCCCACAAGTGTTCGAGTAGAGAGCTTTCAATAAGGTGATGTACTTACTAGGCACGCCTTTCAGTGACAGACACTGCCATAAGACTTCTCGATCAACGGAGTCAAATGCCGCCTTCAGGTCGAGAAATACAGCTATTGTCGGGCGTCTGTAAGCATGCCTATGTTCCAGGACCTGGCGCAGTGTGAATATTTGGTCGATACATCCACGGCCAGGTCTAAAGCCTGCCTGGTTTTCTCGGGCTTGCTGTTCCCGAGCTCCACTCAGGCGTCGGAGAATTATAGAACTTAGGATCTTAGACACTATGTTTGTCAGGCTGATTCCTCTGTGGTTATCACAAGAGGACTTCTCGCCTTTCTTGAAGACTGGGATGATCAGTGACTTAGACCAGTCGGAGGGGATCGTATTTGATTCCCACTTAATCTATCGCTGCTGCTGTGAAGTGTGACAACCTAGACAGATGCATTT